TCCTTGTCTTCTAAATGCAACCTGGAAACATTCGTGTGTAAATAGGTCCCTTTAAGCACAGAATTCCCTAGTTTTCTGCCCTTCTTTATCTTTTGATAAAGGAGTAGACTATTCCCTTCACAGGAATAGTAGGGAGGAAAACTACATTGATCTGTAGATCACTGGGATGCCTTCCCTCTTCCCCTGTGCTGCATCAGTTCTCACCTCCCAGTTTCCAGGAGAGTTAAAGCTTTTGGGGGCTTTTGGAAGAAGACGTGAGTGTCAGTGTGTTTCAGAGGATGGGGCTCCTCCACTCCTCTCCTCTGCCTAGCTTCTACCTTCAGGAGAATGGCCTTAGCTCAGGAGAGGATCAGGATTCCCCACTCCCTCCAAAGGGGCCCATGTGCCAACTTGCGGAGCTTGTGGCTGAGGTGAGAACAGGCCCTGAGGAAGGTTCTGAGGCCATAGCCGAAGGAAGAGAGTGGAGGGAGCCTAGTCCAGTACCAACCTCCAGACTGAGATGCCCAGGGGTTGAGAGAAGAGACACTAAGCTTGGGGCTGGGAGAATCTAAGTAAACAGGAGAGATTACTGGAGGAGAGAGTTGCTTTGAGGAAATTTTACAATCTAAAATGAAAGGAGAAGACTCCATTGATGAGATTGCAGTCACTCTGCTGTGGCCAAGAGTAAGTGTGAGAAATGCACTGCATGGCTTCCTTGCCTTGACATCACCTTGAAGGGTAATTAGGTGTCATAAAAAGAGCACTTATAAGTTCTCAGACTTATCTTTTTGAACTTGTACAAGTTTCCATCCTTATTACCCTGTTTCTCTCAAGTATGAGCATTTAAGATAAAAAAAATTAAAAACCTTCAGTTTAATATTTTTACATTTTGCTGAATGGATAGTATATTCATAGCTTAAAAATATTTTTATTGACTGTATATGGTTTTACTTTTTATGTATATAAAAATGTGGCATTTGGTAAATCTACACCACCTCTATCTAGTTCTAAGACATTTTCAACACCCCAGAATAAACCCCATATCAATTATATTATGGTTCATGTAGAGTTTTATAGAAGAGCCTGGAAACCTTTAATACTGTTTCCATGGCTTCCATGGGAAACGTGTTCATCCTACAGATAAACTTTTGAAACTCATCTGTCTATAAATTGAGACTCTCTTTTATAATAAGATATTTCCCCTTAAGGTGATTAAAATAAATAATTTTAAGATTATTTGTAGCGTTCATTTATTCATGCTATGATCGGTTCTAAACAATAATTGAGTTTGTTTAATTTAAAGCCAATATTTTTCATTCTATTCTATAATTGCCTTAAATACATTACAGAGTCTTAATTTAGATCAGATGTGTATAAACAGTGAATATTCCCCAAAGCAATGCAACAAATGGCTTCAGAATCCCCCATCATACCTATTCTCTATAGCTTCCTAGCCTTCAAATGTTTTTCCAGTGTGAAAGTATTAAGCCCTCAGAGAATACTATCATTTAAATAGCCTATCGCACATTGTCTTAACTTTCTTATTGTAAATATTCATGATAAAAGAAGTTGGATTTCTTGACTCAGAAATTTTTGAGATTTATTAAAAGGCATAGTTACTTGTTTCCAATGTTCTTGAAAGTCGAAACTTTCCTGCTTTTTTTTTTTTGCTGAGGAAGGTTTGTTCTGAGCTGACATCTGCTGCCAATCTTCCTCTTTTTTTGTATGTGAGCTGCCACATGGCCACTGACAGTTGAGTGGTGTAGGTCTGTGCCTGGGAACTGAACCCAGTCTGCCTAAGTGGAGCACACTGAACTTAACCACTAGGTTACCAGGGCTGGCCCCAAAATTTTATTTGTTTTTATTCTCTCTCCTCATCCCTGTCTTAAGTACCTACTTATTTATTTATTTTATTGAGGTGCAATTCACATAACATAACATTAACCATTTTAATGGGAAGAATTCAGTGGCATTTAGTACATCTATAACACCACCTCTATCTAGTTCTAAGACATTTTCATCACCCCCAAATAAACCTCATACCTATTAAGCAGTTACTCCCATTCCTTCCTCTTCTCAGCCTTAGAGTACCTTTTTTAAATTTTGAAATTGAGAAAATAAAAAGTTAATAAAACTTTATGAGATAATTGAGATATTATAAGACTGGATTTAGAATACATTGTTCTATGGGCCGGCCCTGTGGCTTGGTGGTTAAGTGCGCGCGCTGCGATGCTGGTGGCCCGGGTTCGGATCCCGGGTGCGCATCGAGGCACCACTTCTCCGTTCATCCTGAGGCCGAGTCCCGCATACAGCAACTAGAAGGATGTGCAGCTACGACATACAACTATCCACTGGGGCTTTGGGGGGAAAAATAAAATAAATAAAATCTTTAAAAAAAAAAAAAAAAAAAGAATACATTGTTCTAAATTTAGTAACATAAATACATTCAGTATACTGATGGCAGAAAAATTAGATCACAAAATTGTGTGCACATTGTATTGTGTATATCTTTACAGTTATAAGGGGAAAAAGGAACACTTGATAGGAAACATACCAAATTAACTGATTTTGCTCTAGATTTTCTTTTTCTCATTTAAAGGAGGAAAAGAAACCTTTCATAATTAAAAAAAAAAAAAAAAAAAAGAACAACTCTAGGTAGTTAAAAGGTTGGGCCTAAACTTACTATGGTAATATAATTATTTATTTCAGGATAATATTAAACTTCATCATTTTTTTTTCCCCAGATTGAGTTACAATGTCTCTTCATATTTACTAAGAGAAAAAGAGAAATTTGCTGGAGGACAAAACTGTAATATTTGTAGGTTTTCAGTCTTCCAAATTATACCTCAAACCATGAATACCTGTCAAGTAACTGTGTTCTAATTTATTTTTCTTTTTAAAAATATACTTCAAAGGACTTTCTTTTCAAGCTATAAAAATATCATATTCTTGCTGCCATAAATCAAATACCACAGGAGTGTACAAATAAAAAGCCAGGAATCTCCCCTCACAATAGTCTTCTCATGTACCTGCCTAAAATAATTGTTAGCAGTTTGGCAGGTATTCTTCTCAGCCTTTCTGTCGTGTGGCTTACATGCGCATATAACAGGATTGGACCGGATTGAGTCAAAAACTCAAATGCGTGCCTTCAGGATGGCTGTGGCAGTTAATGTAAAGGTGTCAATGAGGTAAGGAAAGGTAGGGCCCTTGGCTAACTGGAATATGAAAACTCAGAGCTTTCATATTCAAAAATAGTTAGAGCCCTGTCCCTTGCATAGTATGTCACTGTGCTCTCCTGTTCTTCCTTGCCCTCCTCTTCCCTCCCATACACGTATAGAATGAACCTATGCCAGCGATTCATTAATGAGTGAACCAGCAGGATGGTAAAAGTAATTCCAAGGGCATTTGAGGAATTGAGTGTATGTAGACACTGAAGAAAGAACGTTGAAATAAATTGCTAGACTAGATACAAAATTGGTTAATGTCCTACAGGGTAGTAAAATCATAACCTTTGGAGTTTGCTGGACAGAAATTGTCTCTACCAAATGAAAATCTTCAAGTCAACCTGTAACTTCATAGAATTTGGGTCTTAATCAACAGTAAGCAGCAGGTAGGGCCGGCCCCATGGCTTAGCGGTTAAGTGCGCGTGCTCCGCTGCTGGCGGCCCGGGTTCAGATCCCAGGCACGCACCGACACACCGCTTCTCCAGCCATGCTGAGGCCACGTCCCACGTACAGCAACTAGAAGGATGTGCAGCTATGACATACAACTATCTACTGGGGCTTTGGGGGAAAAAAATAAATAAATAAAAATTATTAAAAAAAAACAGTAAGCAGCAGGTCAAACAATGGTACTATAATTACATATCTTTGGGAGGCTCTATTAAACAGTGTTTCATTATACATTGAAAGGGCTTGCAGTTCTTGATTCACCTCATTTCCAGTTTTGGTTAATTTTTGTTAATAGTGAGAAAGACTGTCATAATGGGCCAGGTCTTGGAAGAGCTTGCTATCCTAAACTAAGAAATTTAAATTTTCTTTCAACAGGTGTTTATTAAGGACCTACTATGTGCCAGGTGGTGGATTTATTATAATCCTGAGTGTGTGGCTGTGCTGTGGTGCCCCTCCCATTGCCCCTTGGAGACTGACTAGTGGTTCTCAAGGGGTTGTATTAGGGAGTCACCTGGGAAGCTGCTTTTCTCAAAATACACATGTTCTTTGTCCTTCTCTCTGCACCTCAATGTAGATATCTCTGTCTGAGTAAAACATACATGTTTTGAAAAAGCTTTCCAGGCGATTTTTATATCCATTCCCTTTTGAAAATCATTGTTATGTTTACTGGGCTTTTTTTTTTAAATTGAAAATTGAGTAAACAGCAAAATTATAGCCAATATTTTAAAAGTTTCCATACCCCTTCTTGCCTGCCCCACCCCTAAACTGTAATAATTAATGTCCTGATACACCCTCAGCAAGAATTATATGCAGTTGCCGTATTTATAATTATGTTTTATGCAACTGAGACATGAATCTGGGAAAAACTGGGCTTAGTCTTCCTAATTGTATCCTTAGGTTATGCCTCTCACTAAATAAACTGAAAGAGGTGTCATTTATAGTAGTATATGATCTGCATGGTGAAGATATATGATTAAAAAATTAGACTTTAAAAATGTTTTTAATAAGAAAACGGACTGTCATTACCTTGTTGGAGACTGTGGTAAAAAGGAATAAATGATAAAGGAGAAAAATGTGTATGTGTTTAACTTGTGGTTAAACTATTTGAGTTGAGTCAACAATTAAAATGAGCAGCTGTTGCGGACATTTATTTAAATTCCTTTCAGTATGATGTTAATTGGGCAGCCATTTTGTGTACATGCACTCACAAAGCAGGGATTTGTGATTTCAGTACACCTAAACAGCCATGGAGTTTATAACTGAATCACAGGATATGATATTGCAGATCAGAGGAGAAACTGGGAAATAATATGATACAATTGGTATATTGTGTATTTTTCTTTTCATTAGTGTGCCGGTCCAACAAAAGCCCCTGGGTCTGTTTGACTTGTTCGAGTGTCCACTGTGGAAGGTAAGTGACATGCTTATTACCTCTCTACCCTAAGTGCTTTTTTCAGTTTGCCTTTAAGCTTTATGTCAGGCTTTTATTGATTTGGATTTATTTAGCACCATTGCTTAATCATAGCGTATAATTCTCTGTAGGGCTTCCTCTCCCAATAGAATCCCTTTGTTCATGAGAGAACTGAGGAAAATCTAGGGGAAAAAAACCTTTTATATTGATACTCAGAAGAATTAATTTGATGATCAAGAGAATCTACTAGTAATATTTTAAAAGATGAAATAAGGGAACTTTGAAATCTTGAAATAAAAATTTACCTTATGGTTGTTTTTTAAACCTTTCATTAGGGTAAATTTAAGCCTACACAAAAGTAGAGAGATAGTATAATTGAAACCCATGTTTCCATCACCCAGCTTCAGTAGTTAACACATGGCCAGTCTTGTTTGATCTATTTCCCACTCCATCCCCATCTTGACTGACTTTTGAATCAAATCTCAGATATCACAAAACACTAAAATATTTACAGATAAAGGAATTCCCTGGAAAATGGTCTCACTGTGGAGTTCATTATTAATTGCTAAGATCTACCAAATGTTTCATTGTTCCATTAGGACATTTTTGCTTTGCCGAGACTTACCTCCTCCCCCACCCCCCTTTCATCCTGAGCATTTCCTCCCATTCTTGGCTTCAAAATGACGTTACTTAAATATTCTGGTAACTCTTTTCTTCTAACACAAAATCAAATAAATATCAACCTTTGTGTTCTTTTAGCCTGGTAGTAGTGCATTTATTTCTATTGCTCTTTTAGCTTAGAAAACCTACTTTGAATGTACTTCAGAAGTTAATAGCTTAGATGCAAGGAGATGGGAAATCGTACTAAGTCACACCGGCTGAAATCTATATTGATTTATTTGAATTGTCTCCCCATTGTTATTTTTAAACCCGCATTGCATGAAGAGAGCATCTTTGTTCAGTTAACTTTTGATTTTTCACATTTTGAGTCCTGGAATTGAGTATTTTTTCCATGTACGCTTAAGAGTACCTTTGGAAAATGTTAAATGCGTATCTTAATTGTGGCTGTTGTGGTTTTGAAATCTCTAGGATTTGGGGAACCTGAAAATACTTTGTACAGATAACATTTTTTTAAAAAAAGAAGAAAAGTAGAAGCACTTAAATTCTGCAGTTGAAGAGACAGATTCCTCTCCTAGATTTTGAGAGGTGAGAATTATAATGCAATAAAATTTATATAGTTCTGTTCTCCACTTGTCTCGTAGTGCTCTACAGCCTAAATCTTGAAGGTCATATGCCAAGGAAAAGACCTCACAAACTCTCAAAAAGTCGAGAGATTAGTGTTCTTAATAGCAAGCAACAAACAGTTCTCTAAGTAGGTTTTGAAAAAATCAGTTGAAAATTTTCTAGACTCTGCTGGTAGTCTGTTTCCAAATGCAAGCAATCGTAAAGTTAGAAATTTGACATTGTTTCGGAGAAATATAATCAAGTAGATTAAACAGATAAGGAGAGTAGCCTGCATTTGGATCTTCATTTTACACAGCTGATTGGTTAATTTTCTTTTATCATGTAATCCTGGCTATTGATTGCCAAGGATTCTGAATTTTTGGTAATTTTAGACCGCTTGTTTGCAGGGAAGTCTTAAATTGAATATTCTTTTAACTAGGAAACATAGTTTATCAGTAGCATATTTGAGTTATATGTTCTATTGGTGTTCATGACACCGTCCCATTTAAATTATTTTTCAAGTTTTTGCAATTGTTGTTAGAAATCTGTGACATATATATTGACACTTTTCCTTTTTAGACCAAATTGTCTAGTTAAAATCTAAAACTAGATGAGGGAAATATTTATTTTTATATTAGCCAGTTTATACATAACTATTAACTTCTGGTTGATGTATTTGAGTATTAGCCAAAGCATTGCTAATCTTAATGTCAGTAGTAATACATTTCTTACTTCATCACTGACATTTACAGTAATGATTTAAACGTCTAGTACATTTGGAGACTACAGTCTGGTGGCTAAATGAACTATATGTACTATGTACAAATTATCAGTGTTCAAAGACTTGAAAGTGGTAATACCTTTATTATTATTATTATTCAGTATTGCTTTTTATTTGATTCTGAAGGTACTCATAAATATTACTATTTTTGATGGCACAGTATAAATATATATAAGCATAGGAAATTGAGCTGATTAGATATTGAACCTATATGATGCCTTGGAGTTTACCTTTTTAATTACATATTGGATGTTTCTTGACCTATGCAATGTGTTATATCGAAGTATGTGCTTAATATGACCACTTTCTAAGCAATTATGTTATTTGGATTCGGAATAAATATTACTTAAGCATATAAAGGAAAATATGAATAAAATAATTGCTCACATTCATTCATCCATCCGTGCATTCTGAGCCATGGATTATTTTATTTAATCACTGAACAACCCATGAGATATAAGTAGTAGTATCTCCATTTCATAGATGAGAAGACAGAAGCACAGGGAAGTTAAGTAACTCACCCAAGCCTGCGTGGCCAGCATATGATAAAGCCTACTTTTGAACCTAAGCAGTCTGGTGTTTGAGCTTATACTCTTAATCATTTTATTTTATTTTAAAAATCACTTTTGTGGACAGAGGACCCATGTACACAAGTGTTGGTTATGTTTACTTCAATGAAAAAATGGGAAAAGAACATGATAAAATTCTGCGTTGAGGTTAGTAGTGCCTCTAATGCTTCCAGCTTTCCTGGAGTGTAGAGGCTGGGCTTAAAGTTGATCCTCCCTACTTACACACCCATCCTGCTTTCCCTAGGGTAAGTGTTGCTCCTGTACCAGTAAGGCACTTCATGACAAAAATGTTACCTTAACTCTCTGAGTGTGTTTATTTTGGTACCATTTAACCAGCATTTGTTTTGACCCTTCTGAGTTTTCAATTAGGCCTTGCCTTCTACAAATTGGCTGCTATCTAGGAGCTGGGAAGTTTTTGTTTTATAAGGGTCTTCATAGTAGTGGTCAGTTATAGCATTATACAGTATTTAGGTGAAGGTGTAGATGAATTTGGGTGCACACCATGTGCATATGAACCGGTTTCAATTTCATTTCGCTTTGTATAACACAACGATTTATTAAATATGAGTTGGAAAGTGTTATAAAATTTTTATGAGTATAGTCAACCTTTGATTATCTTTGTCCAGGCAGAAAAATAACGGTTTATATAAGCTTAAGGTGATTTGTGTTTTGTTTGGATTTTTTCTAAATAAACGCGTTTCCATATGAGTAGAGCTGATTGTTCAGGTGTTAAAATAAAAGATTTGAAGCCATAGCGTTGAGAAAGAGATGGAAGATTATCCTGTTTCCGTTATTATCCAGAGTATTCCATACTCTCATGTTTTATATGAAGCAGCAACCCAAGCAGAGCCTATGGCCCTGTGGGAAGTGGTTTAGTAATTTAGTTTACAAAGTTTGTCTTTGATAATAGCCTGAGCTGGCGGTTAGCAGTGTGAGAAAAGCTTAGAAAAAGAAAAAAGCTAAAGCAAAAGCATCAGCAAAGGAGGTGATAAGTGATAATATCTATGGTATTGAAACTTATTTGTATAGATAATGCCTTTCCTTTCCTTTCCTCGCCTGCCCTTAGTCTTGTGTACAATTAAAAGTTGACTGTGATACATTTGATTGCAAAAAAGGAGCATATTTTAAGTACTCAGCTTAATAAATCACTAAATGATTAAATGCTCTTATAGGCTTGAATGCTCTTATAAGGAAGAATTCTTTCTCATTCTGATTTAATTACCATCTAATTTTTACCATCATCTTCTACTGCTTTAACTTCCAGAGCAGTATTTAGATTAAAATAAATTTTCATTTGGTTTTTATAAGGTATGTGAATGGCCATGCAAAAAAACATTATGAAGATGCACAAACACCCTTAACCAACCATAAGAAATCAGAAAAGCAAGATAAAGTTCAGCACACAGTGTGTATGGATTGCAGTAGCTATAGTACATACTGGTAAGTATTAATATTTTCTGGAAATGATATTCCTTATTACGTGTGTACAAGTGTTTTCTCATCTTCCTTGCTCTTTCTCCTCCTCCCCAGTCTCTAAGCCGGTTGCTACTGCTGTTACCTCCTTTTAGTCCTGTTGGGGTTCGCAGGGGACTGGAGCGTCAGGAGTCCCTGTCCTGATGCGTTCAGGTTTTACTCTGCATTGTGCTCTTCAGCTTCCAGGCTCCCCTTCTTTCCCATCCCCTGTTCCTTGTCCATCCCCGTAAGCCTCAGGGAAACGAAAAGTATCTATTTCTTTGTTTTTGTTCATTATGATTCCTTTTCTTTCTCTTGTTTTGTTTTTAATTGAAGAATGATATGATAAAAACCCATGTTAAAAAAGAAAACAAAAACGTGTTCCTATTGTCCAGTAAACATTTTGTTATATAATCTTAAAAATTTAACTTCTTTGTTTAAAAAATTTTTTTGATGGTCTCCCCTCTCCCAGTTCACTTCCACTTTCTTCTTTTACTCCTCTGTAGATAAATGTCAAAATTTTCATGTGTAGCCTTTCAGGCAATTTTTTTAAAGTGTCATATTCTTTAAAAGGAGATTGGAGGCCCTGTTCTCTCTTTGTAATATGATATACATGTCTGATTCGTGTAAATGACAATAAAGTGTCTATGTTTGTGACTACTTAGAACTGGGTTATTTAGGCTATAGTGATGTTTAACAGTCCATATCTCTTTGGTATGCTGAGAAAGTCGGTGTATTTTTTAACTTCTGTGTGAAGCAAATTTCTTTCTTTGACTAGTAAATTATGATGAATAATTCTATACTTGTTTTAGTCAGTTTACTCTCAATTCAAAAGGTTTTTGACATTGAAGGAAAAATAGAAAAAAAACAAGCCATTTAAAGGATCCCTTTGGAGATATTTTTTTCCGTATAGCCCTTGAATGTCACATGAAGGCAGTACTGAGCAGGGATGGGGATTTAAAGTCCATATATCACTTTTAATTCACACTTTCTGCTGACGTTGTGTGCTAATCCTTTCTTAATTATCTTAGTTGGTAATTGTGTTGTAGAAAGGTGTCTATCAAAAAGAAGAAAAAAAGGTCAGTGGCTTCCCAAGTCTTTTAAATTTTTACAGGTTTAACATTATTAAATTGTGGCTATTGAATAAAACATCCTAAGGTTTAGTCATTCAGATCACTACTGTTTCAGTGATGCTTTGTGTGGAAGATGTCCAGACCTGGAAGAGAGAGAAGTTAGAGGTAGATGATGATTTCAATAAAAATGAAAATCTTCCCAAGATTTTCACGCAAGGGCTAGTGCTCAGTGTATTGTTATTTGCTCTTGTAAAACACCCTTCCTACGAAAGTTAAGCATTAGCCAAGCTGTTGAAGAGGTCTCATTAGTTTTTCCCCTTTTCATTCAGGAATGACATAGCTATCTAATTGACAGAACCATGGGTTTCTGTAAGGTTGTAAGTATTTCTCGTTAGCAGAAATTAAGATCATTCGTGAGGTGTCTGTCTCACAATCATTTGTTATAGGTCGTGTTAACCTATACATACTAGATGTTGAAAACATTCTCCTTGATTTTCAGTTAGAATGTGCATGAAATGCTTAATGGGGAAGTTTGGAAATACAATTAAATCTCTGTGCAGTGGGTTTTCTCGTTATTGGTAAGATTATGAGCTAATGGTAACTCTTCGAGGAAATTTTAAGAATTATCTTAGAATTATTTTAATGGAGTGGAATGATATTCATAAGTCTCTTTAAAAATGTAGATTATATACTTTAATGTCTTTATATATTACATTTTGGAGGAATACCTTTATTAACTAGAATTGGAATTTAATTCGTTTTTTATTGGTATAGTGTGCTAAAGTACACAGTGTTTCATGGCTGAATTTGAATTAAATGGCAGATCTTCAACCTTGGGGAATATACACCATGGCAGAGGCTTCTTGGCCAATTGCCAGTCTTTTGTGTGAAGTTATACAGAACTGCAAGTGTGTGGACACCCAGAGCTTCTGAAATGCAGGAAGGGAGCTGCAGCTGGTCACATTACCGTCTCATTTGTGGGTTTTAGAACAAAATGCCAGGCAGTCACCCTGTAGCATTACACTGATGGCCTGAAAGGAATCAGTTACAAACTGATGAAGCTGTGGTTTAAATTAACATTTTTCCCACACCTCACTATGATTAAGAAGCAAACAAAAAAAGATTTCTTCTTTCTGTATGGGGGAGTGTGTATGTGCGTGTGTGTATTTTCCAATGCAGTTTAGTAATTTTCACTTCAGTTTGTAAATTTTCCTTGTGCATAAATTTCTTGTGGTTAGACCGAATGATTTGCTTCAGAGGTAAAATATTTGTGTATTAGTTTTAACCTATTTGCTTATTAATTATTATGCTTGTAGTCAAAATATTTTGACTTTAGCTAATATTAAAGCTCCTTTTCCATGTGCTCTGTGCTCTAAAGAAGTTGAAACGTGCTCTGGGGCTTACAGTTTTTCTATACTTATTTTCCCCTTTCCAAGAGTCCCTGCCCTGTCCTATCTTTGCGTATCCGTTATGAAGTTATCACTGAACTGTCCCCATAGGCCCCTTCCAGCTCCAATTGTAGCTGGACGTAATCTCTCCTTAACTCATAGTTCTTGGGATACTTGTAATTTCCTGCTGCACATCGGTTATTTGTAAATGTCCTTGGGGACTGCAGGAACCATATGTCAGATCTTTGTATCTTTCTCAGTATTCAGTGTCTGGTGCAGAGTAGGCAGTATATGTTTGAAAGGTTGCCTTTTGTTAACTATCTTCTGAAAATGGGGAAGGTTACACCAAATCTATAACATTGTATCCTCGGATCATCTTGGAGGACTGAAGAGCTACGGAACATTTTTCCTGAAGAAGACCTAAATCATGGCATATGTGAGCTATTTCATTTACCTCGCAAGAGGAACACTCTTGCAGAGTAGCTCCCTTCCTGTCTGAAATAAACAGGGTGTCAACAAGAAGCACATGTTAACCAAACAGAACAACATGAAACGGGTCACTATTTCAAAAGAGGGAAAGCAACACCAAAAGGAATAATTTTGATTTGGCACAAACCCACTCCTTTAGGAGATAAGTCGTGTTAACTGAGCTAGAGGTAAGTGAAGATTTCAATAAAAATGAAAATCTTCCCCAAATTTTCAAACAAGGGCTAGTGTTCAGTTTATTGTTTGTTAAGTAATATTTCCTTTCCTCGCATACCAACTTCTCTCCCCCCCAGTCAGTACAAATGGAATTGTATGTGGTATGCATTATGATATCGAAAAAACCCAAAGATTAAAATTGATAGAAATGTGGGACAGAAATAAAGATTAAAATTAGAAACTTTTATTTGATTTCTTATGTAGATAGACATTTGGAGTTAATAGTTTTAAAATAGTGAACAAATAATTTTTGACATCTAACATAGTTTTGTCAGCTTATCAACAATAGCTGAATTTCTGAGAATAGAAAAGTATAAAAGGAATATTAAAACTAAATTACTAGGGCCGGTCCTGTGGCTTAGCGGTTAAGTGCGCGCGCTCCGCTGCTGGCGGCCTGGGTTCGGATCCCGGGCGCGCACTGACGCACTGCTTCTCCGGCCATGCTGAGGCCGTGTCCCACATACAGCAACTAGAAGGATGTGCAGCTATGACATACAACTATCTACTGGGGCTTTGGGGGGAAAAATAAATAAATAAAAAAATTAAAAAAAAAACAACTGGAAACAAGAAAATACGTTAAAAAAAAAGAAATACTAAATTACTAGAATTTTTCCTTCCTAGTAGCAGTCCTTCAAACAAAGTAATATTATGAAATGTGAATCAATTGATTTGTTTAGAAAAAAGACTGGTAGTTCAGATTTTAAACACCTGTAACAAATAGCAATTTTAATATTAAAACTAATAATAAGAAAGTTCTTATTTGTGAACCTAAATTGCTACTGAATTGTATTCAAAGGCAGTTGTGATTAAAAATTAAAAAGGAGAAAATCTTTTGTTGGCTATCATTATAAACTATTTGGACACAAATTTTCAGTGTTGTAAAGATTGGAAATGAGAGAGTTTTGTTTATTTAAAAACAGTATTTTGAAGTTTAGAAAGAAACTTTTTAATAGAGGTGGTCTGAAAACATGCTCTTCCTTACTGGTACTTGTCTGCTTTTAACAAAGCATATAGGTTTTCTCTGCAGGTATTACTCTAATTTTCTAATAAATTGGCTTATTTGATGGCAATATATGAGAATTTAATAAAAGAGAATTTAAAAATAAGCTTGCTTTCTAAAGGAGTTCTTTTGGATTTTCACTTTTCCTGGTTTCAAATAGACGAGGTCACTAGAATATCAGCTTTTTTTTTTTTCTGTATGTGTATCTGTCATTTATAATAAAACCAGAGATCAAATTTTCCTCTAGATATCAAAATATTGTGCAAGGGAATGGAAAGGAACTTAAAACTTATTGACTGATCTGCCGTTGTCCTCTTCTTGAGGGGTACATTTTGCATAAAAGTTTTTGTTTTGTTTGAGGTTTTTTCGATGTTAGTATTATACACAACTTACTGTATAAAAATCACTTTGTGGCCAGTACGTTAAAGGACTTGTTTCTTTACTGTTGCATAAAAAAATCAGGTTCATTTGTATGATAATTGCTTCTTGAATCAGATGGATGAAGAATGGTTTGGTCTGGGAATATTTTCTTAGTTCTTCAAGAATATAGTGTGGAACCTTATGATTTGGGTAACTTCAATAGCACTAACAATAGGAATGGGAAAAAAAATTCTAGAATTTTAAAGCTGAGAGAGAGATTTTTCTCTGCTTTGTGTGTGTATCTGTGCCATCCAGTATGGTAGCAGTTGAGCAATTAAAAGTAGCTAGTGCGACTGAGGAATTGAATGTTTTATTTTAATTAATATAAGTTTAAATCACTACATGTGGCTGGTGGCTGTTATATTACAGTGCAGCCTCAAACGATTAAAATTTAACGTGAGTGTA